AGTATTCAAAATTAATCAGGAGTAAAACATTTTTAGCGGAGGATAATTTTAAAGAAAATTTTATTAATAGAAAAAATTAAATTCAATTTGTTTTTTAAATTTCTTAATTTGACCAGAAACGACTGGTAATACAAAACATAGTATTTTATATTTAAACATATTTAGTATTTCAACTGTAGTTTGTATTATGTCGGATTTAATCCATTTTTTCCATTTACGTCAATTTTAGTTCTAGAGTTTGCATTAATTTAATTTAAACAGAGACACATTTATTTCATCTTGTACATTTATGTTTATGATGTTGATGATGATGGAGCATTTCCGCTTACTTGCCTTATATTTGATGTCAGATTTTGTGACGTGGATGGAAAACTTATAAAAAGCAAGTAGAATTAAGCGAGTCAATTGAACTATAATTATTCAATTACAAAAAAGCTAAATCGCATGAATTCGACTAGTTGTTCCATTGAAACCAATAACGCTTCCAAAAAGCCGTTTTTTATGTGTAGAATATAGTATGCTACTATGAATTACCTAATTAGTAAAGTTCAGTAAAAATGTTGATTGAAGTCGTTTTGAAAGATAACATTACATTTGCCATTTTTTGAGCTTTTTTTCATCCAAAACTTTTCGTTCGTTAAAAAACTTTCTATCAATAAAGTCTTGTTTGGTTGGCCAAGGGCAGCTTGGTTCACTTAACATTTTCAATTACGGATCTAATTCAAAGAATATCTTCGGCATATATTGCAACATTAATTCCATTGATACCATTTTTCACCTGGCGATTTTATAATTGCTGATTGAAATCAGTCTACTTGATACATGCAACTTGCGGTTTTCGTTATTTCAGAAAATTGGCCCTACAAAATTCAAACAGTGATAAATGCTTCAAGTGCATGTAACTCGTTTTCGTGTACATAAAAATAACGATATTATAATACAGACCATAAGCGCTTGTTTATATAAATTAGTTTTTGATTAGGCGTTATTTACAACTTTCTTTGAAAATGGGCTTAACTTGTTAGTGTCATTGTATATTCGATTCGAGTCATATTTATTATTAATTACTTAATTACATCATTGAAAGAAGAAAGTTGAATGAAGAGAACTCATTACCATCATCGATTTAGAGATTCTAGGAGGGTTTCAGATTTTGCTCGAGTAATAAGTATTATAACAGCTATACGTTTTGTAATTTCCTATTTAGGATAAACGCTGAAAGTATATTATCAATGGTTAAGAAAATCCAATTTTTTTCTGCCTGCAATTAGCAAATGCCACAAGGGATACTTGCTGTCATCGTCATTTGAAATATTTTAAATTTGGATTAAAGTTACATATTAACAAAATTTAAATTTGCGCTTTATAATTTAAATTTCCAATATCTAATAAGTGACGAAATTAACAATGCACGTTAATTTTTAAATGTTTAATTATAATTCTAATAAAAATGGTACTAAAAATCATTGTTTGAATTAATTTCGCGTCACGCATTCATCGAACAATAGCTCGACATTCAATATTTCTGCTTTATGATGAGTTTTAATAAACATAATCACAACTGACAGTAGCAAGAACATAGAAAAATTGTATTTATAAGGCTTCTAAATGATAATGAGAAAATATTTGATAAAAGAAAATTTGTATGATAAAAGTTGTCTCAAAATAGCTTATATTATGTAGACTGCTTAACGTTTATGCGGATAACGTTATGCGGGTTATTAAAAACCCATTATCTTTTACCACATCTTAACTTAATGCAGAAACAGTAATTAAACAGTTCAATAATAGAAAACCGTAACTTCAATAATTGCCCTCAAATCGAAGGTTGGATTGTAGTTAATAATAATTTGATCTGAGTTTTGATAAATCGCATGCCTGGCATCTTCAGAGGCTTATTGGCTTGGAAGGCTCATACAGGACTGATCCGGGGTTGATTCGAGCTGAATTATACGTTTTTCCTAAACTTTTAGTAATAATTCAATCAAATTTCTCTATAGTACAGTTTACACATACTGACTTGCTGCAACCTTGCTAATTATTCTTTCTCGCTTCTCGCGTAAACCAACTTTCTGAGCTTTCAACATTTTAAAGCGACAGGCTTGCTTTAATTATGGTCCACTTGTGGTTTTTAGATGTTGTTTGTTCGAAGCTTGGCCTTCGTACACTTTTGAACCTAAATGCTTAAAAATTAAGCTCTTTACGAGCTTGTGTTTATGGTTCTTCATGTATTCAAATGTGGTAAAAGTCCCTACTATTAAAGCGTGGATGCTTGTTTTTTAATGTTCCAGATATTTACATTAAAATTTGGTAGTATTCCAAACTTGTACGCTTTGGTAGGAAATTACTTTTTACATCGTTATCATGTTTTTCATCGTTGAAAACTTATTTGCGAAAAGTTTATACCTGAGAGAACTAACCCATGGAAATTGTTGCGTTGTGAGATTAGTTAAAAATTATTTGACAGGAGAACAAGATAATAAACAAACAAAGAAGAAGTAGAATAAATAAACAAAGTTCAAATTGCTAGATACTATAGTGTGGCAAAACCTAGTCATGGGCCAGAACTGATGATGTCTTTAAGTTTATCCGAGCGTATATCATCTTTTGATCTTTGAGTAATGGGTATTTTTACTGAAAATATATCAAGCAATCTGAAAGACAACTCACATTTTATTTTCCTATAAGATAAAAAAGCACTTAGACATTATGTTGTTTAAATTATTTCATTTGCTGATACGTTTTCTATATAGGATATGTTTTCCGCTTAGATAAGTACCAAGAAATAGAGTGGCATATTGACATCAAAAGATTAACCGAATGGACTCCATTCATGAGGGTCTTGTATTCAGAAAAAGCTTTTGGAGAAACTACAGCCTAAATTAATGAACTGATTAAAACGGGGTACTTGGGATCAACCAAATATGTTTCGTATTTTATTTTAGAGACCAATCCTAATTAGTTTTACAAATAATCATTGTAACTTTGATTACCTGAAATAAAAGTTTGTCTGCGAAGTGACCATTCCTGCATAATATCCGGTATCATTTTAAGGGCACAGCATTTAATGTGGGAAGCATCAGTAAATGACATACATTTTGATAATGGGGCAAGCTTTTGGTTTATTGAAATCGACCGTAGATACATTTGAAGACATGTCAACAGAACTGGATGAAATTAAAATTCCATTGTGTCAACTATGAGCATAAAACAACATCAGGAACAGCTGATAGTTCGCAAAGTAATATTCCTGTGAGTAATCTTAAATAAATATATTATGACTATGAAAATTTAAGAAATTTGAGGCAGAATCCCTACCACATTATTCCAACCTAAAGCTTGTTACCCTTTTAATTAAAATGTTTTTTTCTATTTATTCAACTATTTACCGTCGGGGAGCGGGTTCATTAATTTGAAATATTAATTAAAAAATATTAATTGCTTCAGTTTTTATGGTTTATTTACTCCAATTGCCAAAAATATTCAGCATCAATAGGGAGTTTAAAGTGGTATTTTTATTATCATATTAATTGAGAAAACGTAGTGTGTGTGTCAAGTATCCAACCGTATCAAACTGAGAGACTATGCCACAGCAAATAACGTGGTTTTTACCGGCAGAAGTAGTTTTTTGATATATTGTCGATCTACATGGACAAAGGCTTATGACTTTACTGTCCGACTTTAACTTGTTTCTCTTTCTTGTCTGTCCTGGTTCACTTCTGCTCGTTCCCACTTGAAGCAACGTGTCTTTACATAATACTTATACAAATTATTATACCTTTTAACCTTTGTTACCTTTTTTCGCGACTTTGAAACGTTTGTCTAAAAAATCATTTGTACCATATTTGACACTCGCAAATTCAATATTATTCCTTAAAATATTCAGCAAAGTCATGGTCTTTTAAAGCGTCCAATTGAAAATAATTCAATAACAATAACAACTTCCAGATTTCACAATAGATTTTTAGAACAGACACCCATAATGCGAAGGTAAAAATAATGAACTAGTTTAAATCGTTTCAAACAATCCTCCTTCATTCCCCTTTTATACATTTAACTGCTATCGTGATCATGTTATTTTCAATTAGTTCGCGTAGTTCTTCTAACTCTACTGACTGCCACAAATTTTATATCCCTGTTCCTTCAAATCTTCAAAATGGACATCAAACGCTCTACTTACAAACGGTAGTAAAGACATTTTTAGCAATTTAAAAAACTTATTAATATCGGTATTGGTTAAAAAGTGTTGAGTTTTGATGTTTAGTTGCGTTTGCCTGCGCCCGCTGCCAGATTTGTAATTTGCTGTGAATTGCAAAACAGATGCGGAACTATTAATTTGCACAATAGAAAATCACAGCAAGATCTGCGATACATCCTATGAAAATTGGAGAAAGCTCGATATTCAAGCAAGTCAAAGCATATAATATCACCCACCAAGCACCTCTCACTAACGATAGAATGCATTTATGATAATTATTTTTTCCTTTTCTTTCTTCTATGGTATTCTGTGTTTTATCAGCCAAGCCACGGCAACTAACCGTCTGTTTTTTGATATTTAGTACATTGAAGTTGGCATTGAAACTCTCTCGTTAAATCTCATCATGTGCAGGGGCTTTAATCGGAATATCGAGACATTTCAAAAGTAGCCCATATATTACACCTTAGGCCGGCTTCAATTTCGAAATAAGTAAAATGAAAAGGAAAACGACAAACAAAATATATACCTTAGCTCTTTATGAAATTTGGAATTCAAGTAAAAATGTTGGATTTGATCAATTTAATAAGGATGTTCCAGTCCAAAGCTAGATAAGGAAATAATGCTCCTAGACAACATAGAATGACCAATTTTTTTATTTTCAGATTATCATCTGTAAACAGCCTGAGCAGACCACGATGCAAAAAACTTTATCCGGTCACTCAAAACGCGAATCTTGACACCATCAGAGATTCAATCAACATGTTGGTGGGTTAAGTGAAACTGAACATGTACAGATAGTGAATTGTGGACACGATTGGACACTAGTTACGCTAGTGTGTTGAAAATATGCACCTTCAAGCGAAATAGCTATGCCGATCGCTATGTTTTATAATAACGGTGCGGGCTACACGCATTGCCGCTCGGGGTCGGATAGTATAATTCATCGAAGAAGTTCCGCCACTGCCGGGCTAGGAGGTGAAGTGGATATTTTTGATAGTGGAGACTCCACATTGTCAGATCTCGATGGTAAGTGCAACATAATTATTATAAGCGTGTTATAATTTTAAACATAAATATTATAAAAATGTGCATAAGTAATCAAAAAAGGCAACTGGAGAAGAGGGTCACAGGGGGTTACCGGGAAAGTACTCAAAAATCGTTTTAAAGCATTTTCAGTCAATACACACGTTCTTTACAGACGTTTTCTAACGCAAAACATCCTCCCCGAACTTCTCGTTTTTGAGAAGTTTCCATGAAGAGACTACCAAACTTTCAGTCGAGTCTGCTAAAATATTTTTTCCGATAAATTTAGCACCCCACCGCAAGAGGTGTTTGAAAACTTAGCAAAAAGTTCTTGATACGAAAGTTTTCAATTTTTTTCTGTGTTGACTATATTGGTAGAAAAATCAACAGCCTATAAATCCGCAATGAAGCATTTTAGGCTATCTATTTATATAGCACGTTGGGGTTATTTTCGGACCCAGATGACGTGATTAAAATAATGGCCCTTCCTCGTGAAACACCTTGTATACAGGGTGATTCAAAATTTGCGTCATTCCTTTTAAAGGGCTATAGGGGCTCTCTTAAATAGTACGAGAAGAATATTGAAAAACCAATTTTAGGAAAGAGATAAGCTAGAAAGAGAAAGGCTAGAAGATATTAACAGTTGAAGATCGAATTTCAATTTCGTTTATTCGTATTTCGTATTATTTTCAAATGGTCCCATTTTTGATTGGTAGCCACAGGGTGATTCAAAATTAGCGTAATTCCTCTGGAGTGCTGTCTGGGGGTGTTTTGAGAGTACAGGAAAAATTGTAAAAAAATAATTGCTATTAAAAGCTGAGATATTTGCAAAAAACTATATCAGAAGAATTGCAACGATGGTTTTCAGGGTAATCTGTCTAATTAACATTCTGTAAAAACCTGTTGCTTCGTAATTATTAAAAATACTCCTGCTCAATTTGTGCCGGTGTTCAGTAAGCCATTGGTTTAATGTGTCTTTGTGGTAAAATTGAAATTCGTGAAAGGAGCTTCAAAGTAAGTCACAGTTTGACAAATTATTGGTATTATTGACAAATGCTATCTACCTGTTATTATCTGTTGGTGACAAAAATATCATTGCCGCTTTGATTTTTCATCAAAAAATTGTAGAAGAGAACTTTTTTGATATGAAAAATTCTTGTAATTTAAAGCAAAGATCGTAAGTGTTCTTTTTGAATGCTTAAGTATTCCAATATGCTACCAATTAAACATGGAACAATTTCAAAATAATACTTAATAACAAAGTTGAAATTCGATTTTCAACTGTTAATATCTTCTAGAAATTTTCGAAAAAAACTTAATTTTCTAGTATTGTCCAAGTGAGACCCCCATTACCTCTTAAAAGAAATGACGTCGATTTTGAATCACCCTATATAAGAGCATAAAATATATATTTTGAGCGATTTTGTTAATTGAAGATTAACACATAAGTAACTGTAAAGACCGTGCATTTTGATTAAATAGCAAACTCGACTACACCAAAGTCCATATTACCGGTTTCGCACGCTTCATATCTTTTACATTTGCCGTATACTACAAAGTCTATAAAATTCAAATCAAGCCAAAAAATATTAATTTTTTATTTTTCAATGCCGACTCATCAATTTTCAATATTAGAATGTTGTGCTGAAGTCGTATTTCAACAGGTTGAAAACTTGTTGATTGACTGGTCTAAGTTTTCTGATAAAACATTTTTACAGGATTTCAGCGCCACACATTTTATTAAAACAAACGTTGTATCGCGTGGCGATACCATCTTATGTTTATTATCCAGAAATAGTTTACAGTCTCTTAATCTTCGCGCTTAACACAGGATGCTAATTTTCCAGTACAAGGATTAAAAGGACATTAAACAACCTCGGAGTGCTATTTATCCAGGTTTCGTGTGTATCTTTGTGCTTGAGTTTCTCCTTTAATCATCTTTATTTACCTGGCTCCCTAAACATGTCATCCATAATCCTTGGTGTAAATTCGACTTCAGTGCTATTGTGAAATTTAAATCTAGATATATTAAAACTCTATTCGAGTGGAAACAGACGCATTAAATACTTTTAGTTCGATGAGCAATATAATTGGGTGCTTTTAACTTTGTTTTTGCTAGAAAAGCGAATTTATCCAATTTAATTTATTTTAATTTTTGCTCGCTGCTGATATAAGCTAAATTGAAACTATGCAGTGTTGTGCGGCATACATATTTATGTGAGTATCATCCATGTTTTATTAGTAAAGATAAATATTTCGGCTCATTTCTCTCAATCATGTACAAATTAATCAAATTTTCAACAAAATACTACAAATATTCATGCAAATTTTTGCATGAAAAAGTGTAAATGTCAAGTCAATAATTGTATTGAAAATAAGTCTGAATTGCTTTGAACGAGTTATTGAATGGTTTGTGTTCAGCGTTTTTTATAACTGCCCGTTTTCATCATTTAAGGTCCTGAAAATGACAATTTCATAAAGTTCTAAATTCAATGCAAGAAACTTTTCAATTCAATTAAATACTTCTCCCTAGTTTACTTGCAAATTGAGTAAGTTAATTAATTCCTTAACGATATTTACTGAAACGCGTCTGGATTTATTAAAGGACTAATTCTATTAGTCGGAGGAAGATATTCAAATAATTCTGAGGCGGACAGGTGTATTGAAATCAAGTAGAAAGATTAGGCGATGAAGTCGTTTACTTGTGAGAGTTATGTACACGAAGATTTAACTGTTTCCTCCGAAGAGTTTAAGATCTAGTTAGTTGACTTTTGTCAAACATTAAATAATTATATTCTGATATTCACGCTGTGTTTTTAATACCATTTTACGTGAAACAGTAATAGTAAAGCAATAGTAAAACGGTTTTTTTTTTAATTTGCAAGCCAGGATCTAATTAATAAGATAAGAATGATATATTTTATAGCAAGAAATATTTTAATTGAAAGGTAGTAGTTTGCTAATTTATATTGGCTACAGGTGAGTAGACTACAGTGTCTTTATTAAGCATAATTTAAAATATCGAGATAATTTCTTGCTACTAAATTCAATAATCTTTCAATATAAGATGCGCAGTTTCGCTAGGCCTTCACGAATCACGCCTTGACGGGATCTCAATTCTAATTCATTACAAATTTATCCTTACTGGATTTCCAAGTAATTTTCTCGGATATAGGAAGGATTTGTCGGACTAATGGCCATCTTTTGAACGTAAACGCGAAAATAATGGAGTTCCAGAAGGCGTTTGTAAGTGAAACGAAAGGTGAAGAGGAAGGGTTCTAATTACTTAAAATGAAATAATGGGATGATGCAGACTTTGGTAATACAATGGAAGATGAAAATCAAATTAGTATTATATTTCGGTTGAATATTAATATATAATTCTTTCCAAAAGTACTAAAGAGTATAATCTTTCGTCTTGAGTAATTGTCAAGTTTCCGTTAAAATGCGACTATGTTTTGCATGTTTAGTCCAATTGCATGGAGATCTTTTCTGAAATATGTTGACATGTATAAAAGAACATGTGTTCTGTGAAGCAATTCTCCCACCGATAAAAAATGGCCTTTATATAGTGGACCTCACTCTATAGTGCTCAGGTAGGAATCCATCAACTACAGCTACTCTACTTCATAACGAAGAAAATTGTCAATTGGTCCCCGCATAACAATAACTAATTGTTCCCTATAAAGGGTTGAAAGTCAGCAAATGTTGGGGATGATATTTTACAGCAACGTCACCTGGATCAAGCATAGAGAAAAATTTATGGCTGATTGCATGAGGGGCATGAACATGCCTTAAAGCCTTAGCATTTATAATTAGGGAGCAGGGGATAAAATACTGCTCAAACTGTACAGAGCGCTAATTAGATCCAGATTGGATTATTGCAGGTTTGTGTATGCATCTGCCTGTGAATCTGTTCTGAAGACTACACGTAGTTAGTAAGATAATGCAAATCTCGAGGTTAGCTAACCTCAGGCAACCCCAAGAAGTTATGGCTCTTGAATCAATTTTTGGAGCTAGCAAGACTGTTATCCATTGAACCGATTCGCTTTCTTCGATCCATTCCATATACAACATATACACAAAACCCTTTAGTGAAACATATGAATTAAAAAATATCAACATATTTTAGTTTATTTTACAGCTTTGAATATTATTCTCGTTAAATAACTGTGAATGTATTAAAGCTCGATAAACAATGCAATTCGGCAATAGTGGGGTAATTTTTAATACAAAGCGACGCTATGGAACTTATTTCTGGGAGTGAAATGAGGGGAAACGAAAGACAATGAGCTGATTATCTTTGAGATTCCGATCATCAAATGATTGAAATATGACACGCCGTATATTGATAATCGATAGATGACTCGTCAGTTCAGCTGATTTAATCAATCATTTCGTTCTGGACAGTTTAGCTAGACAAAAGATCTAAATCCGGCTGAAATTAAGATAATATAAGAATATATGCCTGTATGGTTTTGGGTTGGCTTGATGTCTTTGTTAACAAGTGTAACGTAGATACATCAATCGGGGTCTTCTCTGTGATAAAGCTTTCTCTAAATACTTCTCATGTTGAATGAGGGGTGATGCTAGAGAGCTGATAATTTTTGTTTTCAATTCATCACCTTAACGAACACTCTTCGTTTATTTAACGTTGGCTATTGTGATTCAACGTCAAAATAAGTGTGCGGTGGTAAAAAACTTTCCGAAAACAAGTTTTTCATACCAATAATTATGACTAACCTTGGGGATCTGGTTCTCTTGTTTAAGAATCGGAGGCAAAATATCCATATTCTGAGATTTATAAAATCGTAAAATTGAATATAAAATATCATACGAACTTACGCAGTTTGTTGTGGTATGCTTCTGAAGGAACGTGGCTAATTTATGCGATTACAATATTCTAGTTAAGATAAATATACGATTCCACACCAAACAAAATAAAGTGCTGACTAAAAGCACATTAAAGTTTTAGTGCTTTAAGTTGAATTACTTTGATTCTT